GCCACATCGCATTTAGGAAGAATATATAACGCTTTTGTAAAAAACAAAATATGCCAGGCTAATCCACCAGAATTGTTTGAAGGCACTAATCTAATATGTAGATAATACTGATCAGATAGATATTGTATTTCTAGTCCTTCAGAAATTTTGTAGTATGGTGCATTACAATTACAAATCCCATGGCAAAGTGTTCTTAAAAATAGCCACAGGAAGAAGGGAATGGTCTTTCACTGACTAGCAGTTTGTTAAGAGTTAGCAAATTAAGATGTAAGGATTAATGGCCGCTTTTCATAATAGATAAAGGTAAGCAATTGTATGCTCCCATAGATCTGTGCTGGGCCTGTTCTGTTTTCTTCTTCCACTAAAGATAAGGGAAGTGAGGCACACAGTGAAATGGAAAAACTGATACCGAGAAAATGAAGTGCAGAAATACAGAAGGGTTATAGGATAAGATGAAAGGTTCAAAGCGGCAGATACCAGGAGGAATAGGGATGATAACTATGTATATGCTGCTCCATCCTGCTTTTGTGATAACTCCTCATGCAAGTGATGGGCCTTATGGACTGATAGCTGAAAATACAGGCCCCACATGTGATCCTGATGTCATCACATATAAAGTTAAGCGGGGTAATATATAATTCAAGCAGGCCCAGATGCAATGAATGGGTGATGGACCAGATAGACCATCAGCCTGACCTTATATGCAAATTCTATTTTTAATTTATTTTTAAAAATAATATATTTAAGGCACAAGGACATCAATTATCTTGCTTCCATAAGCTGATAAGTGGAAAACATTTCAACTCCATCTGCACACTTATATTTTCTGGCTTGCTCAAAATGTTGATTCTGGGAAACCCAGTTAATGTAGAGTGTGTAAGCATCTCTAATCAAGCCAGCTTCAAAATAGTTGGGAGTTGAATGAAAGCTAAATTAAAGTGGCTGGCACAAGGAGAAGCGAAAGTGTCTGTTTCCTGTTGCTTCTATGCATTATGCCTGCTCTGCAAAGACGAACTATTTTTACCATTGCACCTGGCAAGGTTATATAGGCCAACAGCTTTTCTGACCAGTTTTGTCAGATGTTGCTTACACAACTTAGTTTATTTCAAGGTCACACCACAAAACTCTGTAAGGTTGTGTGCACAATATACCTTTAAAGCACACTGGAAGCCCCTTTCCCACAAGAATAATGGGCACTGTACTTTGTTAGGTGTTGCTGGGGATTGCAATGCAACCCTTTGGGCTGGGATGTGGGGAGAATGTGCTTCAAATGTGCTTTAAAGGTATAGTGTGTATCCAAAAGGTTGTGTATACATTCTCAGTTTGCATCCAATGCACTGCCACCACTGCTTTGGGAACTGGTGTATACACGTTGTCACATGCCATCTCTATCTTGTATCTCATTGTGCATTTCCCCAAAACCAGCTGTGAACTGAAAGAAAGGCTGAGCTAGCTGTGTGTTAAGATGGCAACGAGTACACAGCCCAATACTACATGTCTGTGTCCCTTACTTTAGACTACTGGCCTTTTAACAATGAGATTGAGGAATGGAATCTAGAGAAAGGAGCTTGTAAATCTTAACACTCCTCTGAAAATTGACTTCTTTGAGACTTCTCATTTTTTTTTGTCAGACACATGTCTACTCAAAAGTAAGCCCCAAAGGGCAAGTGTGAGAAGCCAAATTCTCTGTTTTCTCAGCCACACAAGTGTAGAAATACTTGATTTATTGGGCTGATATTTTTATGTAACATTTCTTCTATAGTTTCAATTCTGCAAACGGCTATAATTTAATTTATTATTAAGACACAGCTCTGGAAGCCAAGTGTTCATATTACTGGAACTGGCAAACTAAGATGATCAAAGGTAGAGGGTGCCAGGAGCACTTTATATAATTACAGGAAACATTTGAAAGGAATGGAACTAATTTCTCCCAGGGGAAAACCCAAAAACAATAGAAGCAAAATAAGAAAAATATAATTACTTTAAACCATGAGGTGGCAGTTTTAGATTAAAGTTCTAAAACTAGGTCATATGTCAATTTCCTCAAACTAATTGATTACTTACCTTCAGTTCTTTACTCTTCTCCCCCCCCCCCCGAGGAACACCCCCCTCCTGCCTGCCTCCAGTTCAGCGAAAGCCACTGTTGAATGCTTCTCCTATTCTGATGGCCTAGATGTGACCACTGTTTGTTCCGGATATAAGCTGGTAGCTACTTTTTGCATGTGATTCTCTCTATACAGCAATTAATACCTTGTGATCCGATTTGCCACTGCTAGCCTCTAAATTACAAAAAAAATAAAAATGGGCTTCAGAAACTTGACATTATAAAATATTTCATTGCTTATGACACTGATTAACTGTTTGCTTCCAGGGAAGCAAATCTACGAGAACTACTTTTTGAGAGGCTTTGCAGACTTTCATATGATGAAGGAAAGCATTGACAAAGATGTGTCGAAAAGGGCCAAACCCGAAGCTTTTAACCAATTTGATGTGCAACCGTTTTCTCTCAAACAACAGCTCATCCTGATAGGTTACACTCAGTCTTAATTTTGTTGTTGTTGGCATCCGTCTGTCTCGAGAGACAATGGAAGAGTGAGTGAGTAATCATGATTTGTTTGGCAGGCTGGCTGAGTTGGGAACGCCCAACCTTTCCCTTTAGGGCAGGCTGGGAAGCAGGTGGCCCTCCTGATGATGTTGGACTCCAACTTCCATCAGCCCCAACCAGCATGACAAACAGTAAGGAATCATTGGAATTGGAGTCCAACAACATCTGGATAACCATAAGACTGCCTTAGAACATTATATCGTATTGATGGAGAATCTTAGTTTAAGAATTAGATGTCTTTTTACATGATGTCAGGAGCTGGAGTAGGTCAGGGGGGAAAAACACCAGTGTCACGTGACAACATCAAACTGTGCCACCACCTTTACCTTAGCCTTTTGCAAGTCCTTTTTCAAAGATAGTACACAACATCCAGTCTGTACACACTAGATGGCAGAGGACAGGATAGCCATGTTGCTTTCACCCTTTCCTCTTTTAAAAACAATTTGCCCTCTAGCCCAGCAGAGGGTCGAATGCCTCCAGAAAATTAAGGGTTCCACTAGAATGGTTTTTTTGCAGGTGTATTCTGCAACATGTGACTGACGCAATAATAAGACATTAGTGGTGGATTTATACAGGACTGACCACACACCCTTTTACTTTTCTTAGTTCTTCTGCAATACTTCCCCAATGTTACGTTACTGCTGTCTCTGAAGGAGCTCTCCTGCAGTTTAGTGCAACAAAAGCAGGACAAACCCTTTAAACACCAGAATATTTGTAGCATAAAAAGTTACAGGATTTCAGCAGGGCATTATGGGATATGCACAGATTGGAAACGAAGCAATATGTCCACCCCAAAACTTTTTCAGGTCCAAACAGCACCGAAAACAGGATTGCATATAACCACCACGATGCTATCATGAGCACAAATAATCATGAATACACAATAAAAAGGATATCTGTAGAGGCCCAATAAACAAACTAAAAATGCTCACAAAATGGCAGCCTGCTGGAAAAGCCTTGCTGTCAGCCACTTTACCAAACAAAAAATAAAACAAGCCTAGTAGGATGCATGCCTTCATCCTGGAGTTGTAGTGGAGATGGGAGGAAGCACACAGCTTGTAGAGATTTAAAATTAGTTTTCAATACTAATAAAATAAAATCACAAAATGGTGTAGCTGTGGAGACGGATGGGTTGTTCATCGCTAATTGCATCACAAACACAGAACCTTATTCTGCAGCAGTCATAAAAGCAATCAATGCTCTGGTGACGGTCAGATACAAAATGCTGCAATTTGACTGCAGAGAAAATGAGTTAGCCTTGCAAGGAAAGTGCAGCATTGAGGCTAGATATGCAGACATTGTGCAACATAGGTGTATTTATTATGCAATAGATCAACAGGGCAGCCTGAGATTTGGCTGAAGTTATCAGAATGACGAAGCTAAGCTAGTATGGTGGAAAGAAAGAAGCAATGGAGAAAAGAGGATCTATCATATGCATTGAAGACTATTAAGCCTTGAAGAGCAAACATGTTCTTCTTTATATCTTGAATATTTATAAAAAATATGAGCAAAACCACTGCATTTTCTGGCAGCAATCTAAGCCCCAGCCATATTTTGTTGAGATTCTGTGGTCTTACCTATTTTCCTGCACATTATTTGACCTGATTCCACATTATTTGGCCAACTTTGCCCCCCTCAGATATCAACCTACTACTTCTAGATACATAAACAAAATAAAGAAATGTCATCCAGCTCACCTAAAATCTTATCGAAAGAAATTCACTTGCCAGCTTTTTTCTGGCAAGGCACCTAAGCCTTTAATATTTGTATGTCAGACAGAATTTCAACAGGTGAAGCACTTAATCACCACAGATTTTCCATGGGAAGAAAAACTTAAGCAGTTGGATTTCTGCAACTTGTGTGTGGTGAGTGATACAGGGCACAAGAAATTCTGCTACAAATAAAAAACGGAACCCTACATGAGGTCCATGAGTGAGTGATAAGAAACTTAGCTCTAAGCAACAATGTAAATTCTGAGAACATACAGCTATGACATTCCAAGCAGAGAAATAAGCTTATGCGTTAGCAGCAGATTATGTATATATTGTAAAGTTTAAAACTGGATTTCTGCATTCTGTCCCAAAGAACGTCGTGCCAGTTTCAATTTAAAGAAAAGTAGGCAAAGTTTTAATTCCTTAGTGACAGGCTCAGAAGTGAATGAACTTCCACACACTCTTGGACACAAACAGATTCCTGAAGCCAAGTCAAATCAACCCACATTCTGTCAGGAAAGGGACATGAAAATTGCATTTCATCCAAAAGCTACAAAAACAACAAGAGCAGCAGCTCAGTCAGTTGAGCTGTTTAACTTGAACCACATTTACTTGAGTTAAGTTCCAAAACAACACAGAGATAACCAAAGACCGAGACAGGGAGAAAGGTTGAATATTTTTACCTCTCTGTTGTGCAGGTGTGGGATGTTCTTGGGAAGTACTGGTTCCCCCATCCCCTTCCTCTTTGGAGCTTCCCTCTGTCTGTCTTGTCTGCCTGTACAAAGCCTTGCCACAGGCCGAAAAAAGGAACACACACTTCTTGGGAGTGCTTAATATCCAAGCCCCAGCTCAGCTTAAAAACTGTCAGAGTCCTAAGTGGCCTGCACTAGAGAACCAGGAAGGCGGGGAGGTTGGGTGGGGGAGAGGAAGGGAGGGGGAAGGGGGGAGGCAAAGCGATCAGGGTTTAAATTTAGACATGAATCTAAACAGATACTGGCTTTCTCAGAGAACGCAAGAGAGAAAAAGACAGCAAAGCAGCCTATGCACCCTGCTTATTTCCTTTATCCTCGCTCTTATTTCTCAATTTTCTCCTTCCTCTTCTTTCAGCTTCTTTTTCCGGTGAAGGGTGAAGGGTTTTTGTCCTGGCATCTCATCATTTTATTCTGCCCCTACGTGGGCCAGCAAAAGTGGAGGCTCTTGTTTTCGTGGGAGTGAGTGTAACAAGGTCAAATGCATATATTGTGTCATAAATAGATAGGTGAGAAACAGGACTTATCCCATGGACCTTTTTCCTTGTTATCCGTTGCATTGTACAAAGGGTTTAGACACCAGGGATAAGAAGGCCTCACAGTTCGGGAGTGAAAATATTCCACGTATGCTACACTTCTCCCTCACCCTCACCCTGCAAGAGATTAGGTAAAGTGCAGATCTTTTATTTAGGTTATGGTAGAGTTAAAACATATACACAGAGAAAAACACACATGCACATGTGCCAAACTTTTGTTCATTCTGACAGCACCTCTGCCAAGTGTCACTCACTGAGGTGACAGTGAGGAGAACTCAAGAACAAGTTAGAAAGCAACTTTTGTAGCAATAATGCCACCTCTTGAATTCTCCCATATTCTAGTTCTGGGCTAGAAGAGAGGAAAAAAATAGTTTTAAAAGTATTTTCTGAAAGGCATTACTTCCCTTTCCACTGCATTGTTGAGACCCTATTTAGCTGTGTCAAGGAAAGCTTCCTAAAGACAAGTAGATTAGGGTTAACTAGAAGGCATATTACAGCTATAATTGTACTCTGATTATTTTGTTAAATTGCAGCATGTTTTTCTTGTTGCAAATGCTAGGGGCCTAAAATAATACAATTTTATTCCTCACACATTTGGCATGACTGCAACGATAACTGGAACAGAGTTTCTTTCTACCACCATGAATTCTGGATGGCCATCAAAGCCACTAGATTTTTGGAGCCAGTCTTGCTATTTCTTCCCTCCTCAATTTTCAGGATGATGTAACACCACCCTATTATAGGAACTGTTTAGCGGCAGTTTCTCACACAGAATGCAAAGGATTGATTCACACTATCAAATTCTTTGTGCGAATTTGCACCATACATTTAAAGCATCCTTATATGTCATGGCTTGCCCAATGGAATCCTGGGAACTATTATGTGAGTGTTGTTGCTGAGAGACCTCTCACAGTCACAATTCTCAGCAGCCTTAAGAAACTACAGCTCTCAGCATTTGTTGTGGGAAGTCATGAATCTTAAGATGGTATAAGAGTGCTTTAAATGTATGATAAAGAACGTGATCAAATATACAGCTACCTGGAGCAGATTAACGATGTATGCACATGAAGCCAGCAGCCACCTCTGTGATCACACCCTTTGGAAACAGTACATAGCTGTCAACGTTTCCCATTTTTTAAGGGAAATTCCCTTATTCCAAATAGGATTTCCCTTAAAAAAAGGGAAAAGTTGACAGCTATGAAACAGTATAGCAGTAATCACAAAAATGGCCTAATTCAGATTAGCCTTTCACCACACGTGTGTGCCAAATTGCATGAAATAATTTGGAGTGAAGTAGCCCTTTGTGTCTTAGTGAGGAGTTGCCTTGTACCCAATCCAACCACTGATTCATTCAATCCCACACTGTCTACACTGGTGGGCATGATGGAAGAGGAGATAGTCCCACAAGGTGCGGAATATGAGAAAGTAGGTCAAGCCCCAAGCAGGGAAAGTATATTCATAATAAGGAATTTTGATGATAATTTTCACCTGGGAAACAGATACAATCCTTTGTTTCCCAGGGTCAAATTTGGCATGCTGTTAATTGCAGGAATGCAATCAATGTGCATGCCTGAAAAAGTGCAAATAGCAGAAGTAGGGGAGGTCAGCAGCAGTGGGACTGCAGGGGGAAGGAGAGGGAGAGTTTAACCCTTTCCCTTACTGTGATTCCATAACTCATGCACACACTCCATTGCTATTTACCTCAGGAGGAAGCCTCCATCAGCACTGTTGCATCTAAGTTTTCTGCAATATTTTCTGTTTTTTAACTCAAAACACTCTGAGACTACAGTTTCAGTTCCAGGAACTCCTAGCAAAATAATGACATTTTAGAGCAGGTGATAGTGGGAGGAGGAGCATGCAGATAAAGGGAAGAGATAGGTTCACACAAACACACCAAGCACATCACAAGCCAACAAAGACTTCTTTACCCTGGCATTTGAACCTGACCTTAGATAGATTGATTCACCATATTATTGTGTCTGCAGTTTGTTTAGAACTTATTTTAATATTGTGTTTTAAATGGTTGTAACATGTCCTGAGACATTATTATTTATTAAATTTCCATACCATCCTTCACCTGGGTTTACACTATAAAAACACAAAAATACACAACATAGCAACAAACAAAACAATACTCCCCCCAGTTTAAAAGGCCATAAATTGTTTAACTAGCCAAAGGCCTAGGTGAAGAGGAATGTTTTTGCCTGGTGCTTATGTGAAAAGTGGGTAATAAATTGCATAAATAAATAATGGCCAAAGGGGCAAGGGTTAATCATCCCCTTCCTCAGCTATTTTTCCACTTCCAAGCGTAGCCTCTGAATGCTAGGTTTTTTTTAATTGCAAAAGCATTGGGGGGAAAGACACAAGCTACTGTATGTTTTGCTTAGGCCTTAGGTGCTTTCCTCAGATGGTATGTCCTCATTCCACAGACTAATCCTTGCAAGGGGATAAGAACAACTTTTTTACCCTTTCAAAACAAGGCAAGTTGCATGGCAACTGCAACAGGGCTGAATACAGGACTGTGGGTGAAGGGTATGTTATCTTTTTCTAGCAGTTCCTTTTGCTAGATCTCAGCAGGCAGCTTCCTCTTCTTGAGGTAAGAAGCAGACGACAAAGAAGCTGAAGCAGAGCAGCAGTGGAATGAAACTTCTGGTAGCTCAGCTCTGCCATACTGAGATACATAACCTCATTGTCTGATCTTGTGACCAACCATTACCAGGTCGAAACACTAGGACTGCAGTCTTTAATTGATTGGATCAACTAATTTGATTTTGATTATCCAATTTCTATACTGTTTAATACAGTAAAAAAAGATCTGTAAGCGGTACACACAACCATACGCCTTCATCCACCTCTGCTGCAACAGAACATGTCTCTCCCATATTGGTCACTACAGCAACAGCAGGTGCTGTAAGCTTCCGAAAGTTTGACTTCAGCCTCAAAGCTGCACTCCTCCATTGTATCCCGAGACAGATGGATGCCAACCAAGATCTGTAAGCAGTGTACAAACAGCTGAAGCGACAACAAAATATCACAAAAATACACAGTTACATATAAAAATGTTAGATTAATACAAAATAACTAATATATATAAATAAGGGACACGGGTGGCGCTGTGGGTTAAACCACAGAGCCTAGGACTTGCCGATCAGAAGGTCGGCGGTTCGAATCCCCACGACGGGGTGAACTCCCGTTGCTCGGTCCCTGCTCCTGCCAACCTAGCAGTTCGAAAGCATGTCAAAGTGCAAGTAGATAAATAGGCAGGAAGGTAAATGGCGTTTCCATGCGTTGCTCTGGTTTGCCAGAAGCGGCTTAGTCAAGCTGGCCACATGACCCGGAAGCTGTACGCTGACTCCCTCAGCCAATAAAGCGAGATGAGGGTCCCCTTTACCTTATATAAATAAGTATCAATTCATTTTCATTCTGCGTCTTCAGGTTATCGCCCAGGGTCTGGACAAAATCCCAGTTCACTCACAAAATTCTCAGAATGAGAAGAGTTCCTGGAACTCTAGACTTAGTTTTTATGGGCAGGCCCAAGGTGGATGGTACTTCCTCAGGCTGCTTCCTCAGGCAGCTGTGTCTTATTCAACTGTACTATCTACACCTAGTTCCAGATGCAGCAGGTTTGTTGAGTAGTCCAGGGGGTCCAGAGGGTGGGAAAAGGCCCCCCTCCACTCACAGCTCTTTTTTTCACCCTCTGTCCTCTACTCCTCTTCCTCCAACTGCAGCTTTAATTGCAGGTTAAAATTTAGTTTTCTGGCTGAGCCATGAAAAAGAAACATACAGATGGCATTGCCTACCAGTTTTTATCCCAACCCAGAACACACTTTGCATTCAGAACAAAATGCCTTGCAGTGTTTCTAAGAAACTACAGAGAATCCAAGCTGAGTATTTTTAGAGAGATTTCATGTGAGCCATCCAAATCTGGGCACCAGAGATAGTGTAGGATCAGATCTACTTAAGAACAAGTCTGGACATCAAACAAAATGTTGCAGCTAACGGGTTGCAAACATACTCTATAAAAAGGGCATTGCACTTTCCCCCACTTCCATTTTCAGATATTCTACATTTTGTGGCTACTGTGCATGCTCATTCCTTATTGCAATTTTGGTGTTTTTTTGTTTTGCTCATTTAAGGTTTTTTAAAGTTTTTTTTTGGGGGGGGTACTTCTATTAACCTTGACGTTTCCCATAACATAATTATACTGAGTGCTTTTTTTCCGCCAGAGCGCATTTTCGGCACCTCTGATATGGATGCCGTTGTAGGCTGACACTCTCCTCACCCCCTTCTTGCCTTTACGTACTTCTGGGAAGCCTCAAGCGATCTTTTCAAGTCAAAGCAGAAGCTGGCCAGTGTTTGCAAGCCTACACTTTTTTTTAGATCTATGACTCCACCTAGCTCCTAGCCACTCCTAGCTGGTCAGGCTACGGGGTGGGGCCAATTCATATTTCCTTTTCTTTAATCCATCTCCCATGTAGTGGTGGCAGGTTTTAAGCTTTCTAGCCAGGCCTCTACCATTGCACATATGTGCATTTGCGTAGGGCCCTTTGCAGCTGCCCTAGCCATCTTCCTGAATCAAAGGGAATGAGGGAGGTGTGGGCGCATTTATTTGACCTGCACC